CCATGTCCATTACATCATCAGTGATAATGGAAAAGAAATGTGAGTCTCTCACTTCCCTTAGAGTTTATTCCCGAATACAGCTCTCACAGATGTCTACATCTGCCTCTGCTGTGTTTTTTAAACAAAACAACGTGTTAACTGCTCTTGTCTCAAAGCGCTTTCTCAGGACCCCTTGACCACAATTTATCCAGCACGCCAGCACTGCGTGAACGTTATCTGGAGTAAAGACACCTTCTGGGATTTCATCGGCCTCATGTCCATCCAGAGGTATGTTTTGCTTTTCCATCAGAATCAAGATTTCAAACAGAGATTTTAGGTATCCTTTGTTTTCCTTCTCTTCAAGGGTTAGAGGTAAAATGTCCTCATCTGGCCCTTCACCCCCTTCTTTACTGGGGTTCTGAGCATTGCTGTTGTTGATTTCTTTATGTTTTTGTTCCTGTTCAGAAGGTTCATCAACAATTCTTTTATTCATTTTCTAGGTAGGTTGTTCAAATGACTGGTAAGAGCAAATATTGTTGGTATTGCATTATCTCATAGAACTGTCCCATAAGGACTAGTTCTACAGACCCTAGACGTCTCAAAATGTTGGACCCCTCACCGGTCATGTTTATTTAGCTGATCAGGTGTTTTATCTTCTAAGTCTGCTCTCCTACAATTCACCCACTTCTGGCACCTGATCGGGTCCCTCCGCAACCTGAAGAAGGCCAGGTCTGACTGCGTGCTCTTCCGCGTGCAGTTCTGGGGAGCGCAGAAGTTCTGCATGGTCGCCAGCCCGCCCGCCAGCCTGCCCAGCCCTCCCCTCCGTCGGGGCCGAGGAGAGCAGGCATGCCGGCCATCGGGGCCGGGAGAGCAGGCAGGCAGGCCATCGGGGCCGGGGAGGGCAGCCAGGACGGCCACCGGGCCGGGTAGAGCAAGCAGGTCAGCCATCCGGGCCCGGGAGGGGAGCCAGGCTGGCTGGCGCACTGGGGAGGGGCGGGCGGACGAGAAGCCTCGAGGAGGGGCGCCGCGGTCAGAGGCCGGGCTGAGGACGCTGCTCTACAGCGCTCTGAGCGGCCGGGAGGGCTTACTGCTGCCTCCGCCGTCTCTGGTGCATCATCCTACCCGCCCGGGACGCTGCCGCCTCCTTCCCTCAATGCCTGTTAATCAATTTTTAAATCAAGAAGTATTCATGTCTACCGAGCCTCTAATGACCTTTTTGAAAATGAAGTGGTAAACACATTACACATTTCAGCTCCAAAAACTCCTCAAAATATCTAAGGGCATCGGCAAGTTTTTCTTCTAATCTGATTTTTAAATGGAAGCATCTTATGTTTGATACATCATTTGATGTCTTTTAAAAAATGAGTTCTAGAGCACAACATTTTCAACAAAAAGTACACATGTATGGTTGTACAATAAAATGTATAAGATACCTATTTGTGTGTGTGTGTGTGTAATACATGAATATAGTTCCTCTCTATTCTTTATGTTCTTTAAATTCTTCGTTATTATGCACTATTTCTTAAAATGGCTTAGGGGATGGATTGGTAGCTTTGGCTGTTTCCTGCTGACGTTTTAGAGGGTTACTAAAATGTGCAAAGAGGTAGTCACAGACCACAGTAAAACAACTAAATATTCAACGTGCTCTTTCAAATGTGTATTTAAGGACACAGAATCTTCTGTGTGGAGACAATCCGTGCATGCAACTAGACTAAATTCGTGCTAGCAGCCAAGACTTGCCTCTCTCAGTAGACCAGAATTATTCATAAACCATCATGTAAAGAGAAGTGAGCAGCCAACCAGGAGAACTAAGGGCACAGCTGTGAGTCCTGAGTAGCAAGATCAAGTCTCACACTGCTCATTACGAAGAGGGAGGGTTTCTGCCTTCGTTTATTTTCGGACACAGCTTAGATAAGGTTGCTGGCCATATTTCTGTTATTTTGATTCAAGCAGAAAATCCTGTGCAGATCCACGGAACACATTATTGTAACATCGCTCAGAGGAGAATTGGGTCAACGCAATTTAGAGGATGAAAATAGCTCTGCAGTGTGAGTGTAGAAACTCTGGTTTATTGGAGGATAACTTTTTTGATGGTCTCAAAGTTAAAAAATTTAAAACTTAAAAACAATTTTATTAAATAGAAACTTGAGGGATTTTTATTCTATGCCTTATAGATCAAATGGTTTTAGCATGGGGTGGGAGGCAGATGCCAAGGGCTCACTGGAGCAAACTGCAAGGAACTCCAGCACTTTTCTGTGCTTCTCCTGAAGTACTCTTGCTTTGTATCTGAGTCTTGTCTAGGCCACATTAAATGGAGTCATTAGACTTGAGTAACTTGAGTAACTTTTTAAATTAGGAATTCTTGACTTGGGGATACTTGCCTGAGGGTTTCTCTTTTCTGCTGTTTTTTTTTTTCTATGATTAAAAATGCCAAGAAGGGCAAATTTTTCCATGATTTGGAATTAACAGGAAGGATGGACTTCTAAGGACTGATGGCTTGTGAAAGATAACCATTGAAACAACCAATTGTATTTATGCAAGGCTTATTGTTTAAACACCGTACTCTTCTTATAGGAATATTGTTTCCCTTAAAAGAATGTTTCTACTAACTAGAGTTTTAATCTAACTTCAGTGCTGTCTGTCCAAGACTGTCCTGAATTGAGTGATTTTAAGGGATATGGTCTATCAATTTAATTTACTTGCATTTTATGGATTCTTCTTCTTTTTAAACATGAGCATATAATTAAATATCTCCTATACTGTTTACAGTGTTTAGATTATAGCTTATATATAAATTTCTCCTATCAAGTCTCTTCCATTATGTGAGTTTTATTAAATAACCGACAGACTCCACTGCTGATTTATCACGAATGATAGTAAATTTTTTCAGAATTTAAATTTATCTATACTAAGTAACAGGCATTAATAACTTGGTTTCTTTTTTAAATAACCAGAGTCTGCAATGCCTTGGTTTATGCAAAAGCAGGCAAGTCAGGCCCATCTCCTGACTGGGTAACCTTTTTTTGCCACTGATCCAGCCCTTAAAGTGAGTCATGTTGTTTACTTGGGGTCCATGGATGAGCTACAGAGATTAGTCTGTGAATGTCCTAAAATACAGTACAACTGTGAGTTTCTGTGAACTTTCACATAATTTTTATCAAAAGAAATTTGTGGTATAATGGATAGGTGGGCAGTATAGTGTGCCCTGCAGTCAGACTGCCTGCGTTTATATGATGATGGGGTTTGTGAGTTCTATTCCAAAATATTGAATATTTTAAGCTGAAGAAATTTGAGAAATGGCAGGTTCAGGAGGGACTCTCTGACCTTCCCTTGAAGCAGGTCATAAGACCCTCCTGTGAGAGATGCTGTCTTTATATCCAGAGAAATGGAGCATTCTTCTCCCTGAAGATGGAGGGGTGCTGAAGAGAATCTGAATGAACAGGACTTGCTCAGTTTCTCCCGGTTTACTGCCCTTAGGGCCTCTCTCTCTGCCCTGTCACATTTTCCCACGACTCTTCATCAAACCTAGTATAAAGAAACACTCAGGTTTAATCATTTTTTTAAGGTATTCATTTCTTAATGAAGCCTCCCATGTCACATAATAGTTTTTTTTTTTTTTTTGAGACTGAGTTTCACTCTTGTAGCGCAGGCTGGAATGCAATGGCACAATCTCAGCTCACTGCAATCTCCGCCTCCTGGGTTCAAGTGATTCTCATGCCTCCGCCTCCGAAGTAGCTGGGATTACAGGTGCCCGCTAATCATGCCCAGCTAATCTTTGGATTTTTAGTAGAGACGGGGTTTCACCATGTTGGCCAGGCTGGCCTTGAACTCCCGACCTCAGATGATCCACCTGCCTTGGCCTCCCAAAGTGCTGGGATTACAGGCGTGAGCCACCGCACCTGGCCCGTAATACTTCTATTACGTAAATTTGTATGCTTTTCTGTTGTTAATCTGTCTTTTGTTACAGAGCCACAGCTAAGCTCCTAGAAGGGTAGAAGCCAAGATTTTTTATGATCCCAATCCACTACTTAGCTCGGTGACTTCAAACAAGTTACTTAACCTCTCTCTGCTTCAGCGTTCTCAAAATTGCAGAGATGATCTTACAGGACTGCTGCGATGATTAAATGCGAGAATTCTGATGGCATGGAAAACTCTTAAAGAAGTGGCAGGCACTTAGTAAGCATCACTAAATTTTACTAATTATATCACACAGTCAGCCCTCCATATCCACAGGTTCCATAGCTTTAGATTTAAGCAACCTTGGATGGAAAATATTTGAAAAAAGTCAAAAATAAAAATAATAATTCAACAATTAAAGTTATATTAATTAAAAATACAGTATAACAACTATACAGCATTACATTGTATTAGATATTATAATAATCTAGAGATTATTTAGTATGTGGGAGGATTTACATAGGTTATATGCAAACACCACACCATTTTATATTAGTGACTTGAGCATCTGTGGATTTTGGTGTCTGAGGAGGTCCAGGAACCAATTTCCCAGGGATGCCAAGAGGTGAATGTATTCTCAAAATAATCTGTAACCTCCAAAAAGTTAAGAGGCACTGACCTATGATATTTTTAGAATTGTGTTTTAAAGAACAAATCAGTACCTGATTTAATAAGTTACACTTAAGCCTAATTCGAACAGAAATATTAGTTTGCAAAATGCACAGATACATATTCATCATGAGGCAGAAAGGCCTTTTAAATAGCTTTGAAAATGTGGAAAGTCAGTTTGTGTTGTTCTTCCATGGGAGAAAAAGAATCTACCAAGTCCCAGGTGAGCCTCCAAAAAAAACTTCCATCTGCCCTTGGCTTCTGTACTATCCAAGCGTGTCTTGAAACCCTGAAATAAATTTCAAGGTGACAACCTAAATTTAACTCTGCAGTTGTGGGTTTGTGGATTTCTCAGCATTTTCTTTTTTAGTTAGCATAGAAGTCAAAAGTTACAAAAGCAATGAGATTCTGCATCTTTTAATGAAAGATAAAACAACAATATAAACATACACAAATTTACAGAGAAGGGAACAACTTTAATACATTTGGAGTAAAAGGTGTTTCTTCTTTAAATATGGTATAAAAATAAATGCAAGAAACATTAACGGAGAATGTACAGACAACAGACAAAGACAGGAGTTTCTTTCCGACTGTGGATACATTGGTGAAATGAAACTTTCTGTGCGAATTTACTGTTTAATAAATGTGAAGCCGTATGTATACTTATTGATATATACTTTTTTCTTTTACAGTTCTTCCAGTTTTTGACTGACTGAATTTTCAGTGAACTGTGTGTCTAGCTGAAGCTTTGAGAGAGAGAGAGAGAGAGAGAGAAGGAAAAAAAGAAACGGTTTTACTTCACTTGAACTTGTTAAAAAGGAAAAGACACAGATCCAGCGTAAGTAGAGGGAGAAAGAAAGCAGACAACAGTTTGGAATGGAGGCATTGAGATGGAAGAGTCCACTGGAGATGGAATGTACACACACAAATAACAATTTAGGTCCTTTGCTCATGCAACATCTTGTTCTAATGTCCTCTGCTCCAGATCACAACAGCGAGCTACAAAGTATGTGCAGTGACTCCAGTCTGCATTCATGCTACAAGATGATCCGTTTAGTAAGACTGAACAAGGCTTGTTAACCTCTTGGACGTGAGAGATTTCCCCTGAGAAAATATATAAAACAAGAAAAAAGAAAGAAAATCAAGTATGATCACTGAAAACCTGCGTGGTAGTAGCAACTATTTACTGTAGCTGATTTGTGTGCAAGGGTCAAAACTGAACCCTTTAAGTCCATCTTAGTTCAAACTTCATGACCAACCTGCCTTCCCCGCTCCCTCCCTCCACTGACACGTCAGACAAAACTATCCTCCCTCCCTCCACCCTCCTACCCCTCCCAAATCCTTCCTCCCCACTGCAAACAGACTGATGGTTTCACAGCACAGATCAGCAAATCATAAAACATATCCATAAATGTTCCATCAAGGCTTAGCAATGAAGCAACATCTAGGTTCCCAACTGATTATAAACATGTTACAACAAATCTTAGTAAGCTGCTCTGAAAGATAATAATGTGAGTGCATTCTTGTTCAATGGCTGAAATTAAGGTCACATTTATAAATATCTAGAAATGTAGAGGATATGATTGAATCAAACAAAATGCAGTTTTTGAGGGTGTGATTCATGAAACTCAAGATTGAGTGTGTCCCCTACCTTACATAATAATGGAGAAAAAGGTGAAAATTATACATCTGAAGATAAAAGTCTATTTGTTCCCTGTTTCCAGCTGTTGACGTCTTCCTATCCTTTCCTGACTTCTTCCAACCCTAATCCAAGAAAAAATCTGATCTATTCTGATTCCACATATCATACGATTACGTAAAGCACATACTTAGGTTTTAGAAATCTCATAAGTCAACATTGTTGCTGTTAATTACAAGTACTCTAGAGAGATAAGAAATCTGAGGCCGGGGACAGTGGCTCACGCCTGTAAGCCCAGCACTTTGGGAGGCTGAGGTAGGCAGATCACCTGAGGTCAGGAGTTCGAAACCAGCCTGCCCAACATGGCAAAACTCCCTCTCTACTAAAAGTACAAAAATAAGTCGGGTGTGGTGGTGGGCAGCTGTAATCCCAGCTACTCAGGATGCTGAAGCAGGAGAATCACTTGAACCCAGGAGGTGGAGGTTGCAATGAGCCGAGATCGCACCACTATACTCCAGCCTGGGTGACAAGAGCGAAACTGTCTCCAAAAAAAAAAAAAAATTTGAAGTATTTGATCAGAATACAAAACTGGTGGTTCTCATTTCATGTCTTATTTTATATGTTCTATTAAAAAATTATGTGGGCCAGTTATTTAATGAATTTTTGTACATCTCAAGATAAAATAATAAGTAAAAATAAAAAATTGGAAACATATATTTTAGTAATAAATTACAGTCATAGCAATAGTCGTGATTTGCTACCTAATGTGGCTCCGTTTTAGAAAGGAGATGGCGGTGATGGGAGATACATCATCACTCATGGTCATTGCCTTAGTCTGTTTGGGCTGCTATAACAGAAAACCATAGACTAAATGACTTATCAACAACAGAAATTTATTTCTTATAGGCCTGGGAAGTCCAAGATCTAGACACTTATAGATTGTTTGTCTAGTGAGGGCCTTCTCCTTGGTTTATCAATGGTGCATTCTTGTTGTGTCCTCAGATAATGGAAGAAGGAAATAAGCTCCCTGGGCTTATCTGATAAAGGCTCCTGCTCATAAGGGCTTCACCTTCATGATCTAATTACCTTCTAAAGGCCCTGTCTCCTAATACTGTCACCCTTGAGATTAGGATTTAACATGTGAACTTGAGTGGGGAGGGAACAGAAATATTCAGTTCATAGCAGCCACATTTTTGGAAAAAGACAGTATGTTTAAGAAAAGATTAATAATTCCATAATCAACCTTTCTTTACACACCACATAATTACTGATAAGGGCCCTTTGCTGATATGAACAGCAGCAATGAAAATCATGCACCATTTTCTCTTAGTTTTTTCTTAATTGGGAAAAGGGTCCACAACTTAGCTTTCAGCAACTGAGAGGGACGATATTAAAGTGGTTTTTGTTTTGTTTTGTTTTGTTTTGTTTTGACACGGAGTCTCACTCTGTTGTCAGGCTGAAGTGCAGTGGCTAAATCTCGGCTCACTGCAACCTCCGCCTCCCGGATTCAAGCGATTCTCCTGCCTCAGCCTCCGGAGTAGCTGTGACTACAGGCACCCACCACCACACCCAGCTAATTTTTTGTATTTTTAGTAGAGATAGGGTTTCACCATGTTGGCCAGGATGGTCTCAATCTCCTGACCTTGTGATCCGCCCGCCTCAGCCTCCCAAAGTGCTGGGATTATAGGCATGAGTCACCGCGCCTGGCTAATATCAAAATTTAATGTTGGTATTTTCCACTAGGCTTCTGTTTATTCACTTTATGGGAGAAACAACAATAAAAGAGAAAACAGTTTATTAACAAGAGACCCTGCTTTATAAATAAAATATGCATTCCTGCCTGCTCTGGTCTGAATGTCTGTCCCCCTCAAAACTCACGTGTTCAAAGCCTGCTCTCCTATGTGATGCTATTAGGAGGTGGGGGCTTTGGGAAGTGACCAGGTATGAGGGTGAAGCTCTCATTAATGGAATTAGTGCTATTTATGTCTGTCTGTGTGTCTCTGTGTGTGTGTGTGTGTGTGTGACACAGTCTCACTCTATTGCCCAGGCTGGAGTGCAATGGTGCAGTCTCGGGTCCCTGCAACCTCCGCCTCCAAAGGCCCCAGTCACTGGGTTCAAGCGATTCTCCTGCCTCAGCCTCCTGAGTAGCTGGGATTACAGGCATGAGCCACCAAGCCTGGCTAATTTTGTATTTTTAGTAGAGCCGGATTTCGCCATTTTGGCCAGCCTGGTCCCAAACCCCTGACCTCAGGTGATTCACCCACCTCGGCCTCCCAAAGTGCTGGGATTACAGGCATGAGCCACTGCGTCTGGCCTAGTGCTCTTATAAAAGAGGCCCAAGGAAGCTTGTTTGCCCCTCCCACCAGGTGAGGACACAGTGGGAAGATGGCTGTCTATGAATCAGGAAGGGGGCCCTCATCGGACACTGAACCTGCCAGCATCTTGATCTTGGACTTCACCAGCTTCTAGAACTGTGAGAGATAAATTTATTTTGTTTATAAGCTACCCACCCAGTTTACGGCATTTTGTTATAGCTGGCTATAACGGACTGAAATGCTGCCTCCACTTCCATGCCTATTTCCTCATCCCTAAAATGAGGATAATAATAGTACTTACTTTAAATCTTGTTCTGAAGACTGATACACGTAAATTGCTTAAAACTATTTATGGATCATTTTGTTCACTCAGTTTATGTTGGCTATTACCTTACACTATCATTCTAATTATTAATACTATCATTATATGCTGTCTTCATTAAGATACCCAAACCCAGAGTCACTATTCTGACACTGAGGGGCACAGAAAGTTGTAAATTAAAAGCTAAAATCATAAAATCATACTGCTTTTCCACCCCAATCCTGGGCAACAGGTTAATCAAATGATGTTGACATAAAAAAGATTCAGTTCTTAAATACAGTGCTATTTCCTGTGTTTACTACTGTAGTCCCTGTGCTATGAATAGAATTGTATACACACGTGATACATACCTATTCTGAGACTAAAAAACTTATCTTTAAAACGTGCTTACTTGGCTGGGCGTGGTGGCTCATACCTGTAATTCCAGCACTTCGGGAGGCCGAGATGGTTGGATCACTTGAGGCCAGGAGTTCAAGACCAGCCTGGCCAACATGGTGAAACCCCATCTCTACTAAAATACAAAAATCAGCTGGGTGTGGTGGCGGTCGCCTGTAATCCCAGCTACTCGGGAGGCTGAGGCAGGAGAATTGCTTGAACCCAGGAGGTGGAGGTTGCAGTGAGCCGAGATCACACCATTGCACTCCAGCCTGGGCAGTAGAGTGGGACTCCATCTCAAAAAAAAAAAAAAAAAAAATCATTCTTAGTCTTAAAGTAGTAACAGAAAGTTGATGATAAGGAGCCTGAGTCAGTAGGAATTGATGAAGGCCAGGCTCTTAGCTACAGCCTGACAGCCTGGGGCATTAGGGAGACGGAAGCAACTTTCTACATTCCTCTCCTGCAATCCAAGGAAGTAGAGAGAAGCTATGTTTGCTTGAGTTACTAAGCCCACTTATTTTATTGCTGTCATAAAAACACAAAGTATGGCCAGGGGTGGTGGCTCATGCCTGTAATCTCAGCACTTTGGGAGGCCGAGGCGGTGGATCATCTGAGGTCAGGAGTTCAAGACCAGCCTGGCCAACATGGTGAAACCCCATCTCTACTAAAAATACAGAAATCAGCTGGGCGTCGTGGTGGATGCCTGTAGTCCCAGCTACTAAGGAGGCTGAGGTAGGAGAATCGCTTGAATCTGGGAGGCGGAGGTTGCAGTGAGTCGAGATCGTACTACTACACTCCAACCTGGGTGACAGAGCGAGACTGTCTCAAAAAAAAAAAAAAAAAAAAAAAGAGTGAAATAGTTACATTGAAATTGGAAGCCATTTGAAACTCAGATACAGTCATTTTTTTTATTTGAACGATTAAATCTACTGTTGTCCTTATCAATTTATAAAGAAAAAAAAATGTGGTTCTCTTTCTACAGTTTTGTTTTTATTTTTTCAAATATCCTCAAATCCTCAAAGCTACTAGTACGTGGCCTGATACGGACTTCATTAAAAATTGGATATGATACAAGTTAAGCGTGACAAGCACTTGTCCCAGGAAATAATTAAAAAACACTTTTTCACAGAAGCCCGTAGAGAAATATAGGCCCACAGTAAACCTGGGGCTTTGTGATATTAGCATAACAATGGGCAGAAATGAGAAAACATACAAGTGTATTTTAACAACAAAACTCTGTGTGGACCAGGCGAGGTCCCAACACTTTGGGAGGCCGAGGCCAGCGGGTCACCTGAGGTCAGGAGTTCGAGACCAGTCTGGCCAACATGGTGAAACCCCATCTCTACTAAAATACAAAAATTAGCTGGGCGTGGTGGCGGTCGCCTGTAATCCCAGCTACTCGGGAGGCTGAGGCAGGAGAATTGCTTGAACCCAGGAGGTGGAGGTTGCAGTG